GGGGTAGGGGTGGGAAGGGCAGTCATTGCAGTCTTTATAAAGCACCTGGATTTAGAGGATTTTAGGCTAGGGTATGACATAATCAGATTTGCATTTTAAGGATAATAGCCGGGTGGTACCTGTAATCCCAGCACCTTGGGAGGCTGAGATGGGAGGATCATTTGAGCCCAGGAGTTCAACATCAGCCTGTCTCTACAAAAAATTAGCTGGATAGGGTAGTGCATGCATGTAGTCCCAGCTATTGCAGAGGCTGAGGTGGGAGGATCCCCTGAGCCCAGGAATTCCAGGTTACAGTGAGCTATGATGATGCACTCCAGTCTGGGTGACAGAACAAGACCCTGTCTCTAAAAAAAAAAAAAAAATCCTGGCAGAGGAGAGTGGGCCTGAGGTGGACAAGAAAATTGGCTGGAGGGAGGCCCACTAGAAGCAGAAATCATCCAACCAAGAGCGTCTGATGCTCAAAGATCCAGATGAAATTAGTGATAGCAAAAGGCTTTTAAGAAAGAAGAGCAGGAGCTTTTTCCTTTAACATCACAGTCTTTCACATCCTCAGGCCCTAACTGCAGACTTCATCTCACCCTTCCTGTGCTTTCAAGAAGGCCTGTGTTTCTTGCTACCTCTGTGTGATGCCTCCCCCACCCACTGTGCCTGCCTGGTTTTTATGTCTTGTTTTCCACGGTGTTCTTATGTCTATCCTAACTTTCAGATAGAGCAGCTCACTCTCCTTCTGCCCTGTCCAATTTTCCCATTAGACTATATGTTCCTGAAGTGCAGGAAGCTATATCTCACATCCCTAGCACTTAGCAGAGCTCTGGCACATAACAGATGTTCAGCAAATGTTTACGTTCGTTAAGCAGAGGCATGCCCTCATTAGAGATGCAAAATAATCTGACCTGACTGCTGCTGCACTTTGCAAACATTTAGACTTACTGTGGCCAACAGTAAGAAATACATTTTACATTGCAACCCAGTGTAATGAACACATATATGCCACACAAACTTGAAATGCTTCACAAAACAGTATTTTCCCAAATTTTAAAAATGTATTCCAATATTTTTTAATTCGCCTTATTTTTTTTTAAAGAGATAGAGTCTTGCTCTGTTGCCCAGGTTGGATTGCAGTGGCAGAATCATAGCTCACTGCAGCCTCAAACTCCTGGGCTCGAGTGATCCTCTCACCTTAGTCTTCAGAGTAGCTGGGATTAAAGGTGTGCACCACCATGCCCAGCTAATCTTATTTTTTGTAGAGACAGGGTCTCACTATGTTGCCCAGGCTGGTCTCAAACTCCTGGGCTCAAGTGATCCTCCCACCTCAGCCTCCCAAAGTGCTGTGATTACAGGTATGAGCCACCAGTCCGAGACCATTTACCTTTAAATGGTACTGATCCATTAGCTTCATTTCATGATCTATTGAAAAACACTAACTGATGAACACATATTTACTTGAATATTATTTGATATCTTTCCTTGGGTTTCCCTCTGGTTTAAATAATATCAGCACCCTAACTCTGTCCTAAGGACTGTTTTCAAACCTTTCAATAATTTACCATGGCCACTTTCCAGCTTCTCTCATCTTTTCCAAACTAAGACTCTAAAAAGGGATTGGTCATTGCCAAGAACTGAAGGATTACTTCCCAGCACCAGTACTTCCAGCTCTAGCTGGCTCCAGCTCTTGCTCTCTGTCAATCAGATGGGCTTATGACACATAACTCCTCATCCAGGTGCCCCTTGAGAATCTTCTGCCTGCTTGGCCTTCAGGTTATTCACTCTAGGATTAGAAGGAAATCAGTTCCTTCTCATATAGCATTTACATTCCAGTTGTAGTTTCAGGGTCCTTGTTTGCTGGAGCGCTCTCTCCTCTCCCTCTCCCAACGTGTGTACAGCGTTTTGCCAAGAACACACGTACGAATTAGTAGATTGACTATCTCTGCTGAATGTCTCCAGCTGCAGGAACCATTTTTGTTCGGCTCACTTTGAACCTTGTGGAGCAACACCAATATTAGCTGCCCCTGGATACTAGTAACAATGTTTGTACAAATCTCCACATCAATTGCAAGAGGGAGGCCGGAGACCGGGAATGGCGCCCCCTGATGGGGAGTGCGGACTGGGCATGGTCACTAACCCCAAGAGTCCCCTCCGTCCGGCCGACACACACATACAGACGCACGGAGCCTCCTACTGGCGCCGGGACTGTCGCTATAAATAATTGAGGCCAACTCCCCAGGGAGTGACATTCCATCCCCGGCCGGGCTAGCCTACAAATCCCAGCAGGCCTCGCGCGAGCGCGGGGACTCCATCTCCCCGCGGGCCCGGCACTGACCTGCCAGCCGGTCAATGGCCCGCGCTCAGAGTAGGTTTGTCCCTTTTTACCTGACGGCCGAAAATGTCTGGAAGCGGAGAGGCAGTAGAGGCCTGCCTGGGACATGGCCGCCCCGAATCCCGACCCGAAATAAGTGCACCAACATGCTGGGGCAGGAAAACAGGAGCAGCCGGCAACGACACTTTCACCCTCATCCCACCATGGGCTCCATCTTGGCTCCGGCCCGCGTCCCGACAACCCCTTCGCCCCTCGGCAATGATTAGTGGAAAGACGCATCAATCTAGTTGCAAGCTGTTATTGGAGAAAACGTTGTCAGCCCACCTCCTTCCGAAATTGTGATTGGAGAGAATCACCTACTCGCCCGCCCCCAGCTCTGGGCGGGGCCGAGCGGAAAAGGGCACTCCCTTTCTCCCTCGCCCGGGGTGACGGTCTGAGAGTGTGCCCAGTCGGTCCCTTCAGCCCCGGGGTATCCATAGTAACGCGTCAGCTGCTAACCTCGGGCCATTTTCCTAAGGGCACTCCCGGCGGACTCTAGATGTTCTGGGGTCTCTAGGGAGTGTAGAGCACTGGCCCTTGGGGACAAATGAACGAAAATCGACCGGAGAGTTTATTTCAAAACATATGCACGTGCCCAGCGTGGTGGCGCGCCTGTAGTCTAAGCTACTCGGAAGGCCAGGAGTTGGGGGCTGCAGCGAGCTGTGATCTCATCACTGCACTGCAGCCTGAGCGACACAGCGAGACACCGTCTCTTAAAAAAACAACAAAACAAAATACTTGCACATGACTTGCCACCCATCCTGCTCTTTTAGGCGTATCAGAACTCCTGGACGGGGAAAAAAAATCCCCTGGTGATTCTGATACTCTTGTTCTATTCCTCAACTATTGAGTGCTACTGGTATGGAGGCCCTGTAGTTTATCAAGGCGCGATCTCAGATCTCTCCTCGGCAGGGGTGAGGCAGATGCCTTCCTCACCAGGTCAGAATGACTTGCCTACAGCACCTCTGTTATTTCTTCCGTGTAATTGTTTGCATACCTACTTCCCCACTGGGCTGTGACATCTTGTCGTAGCTCTGCCTCCTTCACCTGTCTCCTTCCCCTCGAAATGCTTCACAGGCAAAAGTGTAAAATAAATTGACTTGAGTCCGGGGTGGTGGTAGGGAGGCTGACGATGGATGAATCTAGGTTGGAACTGGGCAGGAAAATGTGTCAGGATTAGTTTGAGGTTGGGCTGGGGAGGGGTCCTAATGTCAATATGATGGAATATCCCTGATATTGACTGATACTGTGTGAGTAAGAAGGGACAAAGACCACCCCACATAATCTTTTTTTTTTTTTTTTTTTGAGACAGGGTCTTGCTCTGTCTTGCCCACGACAGGCTGGGGTGCAGTGGTGCAATCATAGCTCACTGTAGCCTCCAACTCCTGGGCTCAAGTGATCTTCCTGCCTTAGCCTCTTGAGTAACTGGGACTATAGGTGTGTGCCAGCACGCCTGGCTAATTTTTTATTTGTAGAGACAGAGTCTCTATCAGTTGCCCAGGCTGGTGTTGCACTCCTGGCTTCAAGTGATTATCTTGCCTCGGGCTCCCAAAGTGCTGGGATTACAGGTGTGAGCCACCTAGCCCAGCCACCACCTAATCAACTTTGACAGATGTCTCAGAAAGATTATGGGGATTTCCTGGCCCCTCTACGATGTAGGATTCCATTTTGCCACTTCTAGAAGGGCTGGGTCTTGTTTTCATAGCTCTGCCTCCTGCTCAGGAATAAAATTGTGCAAGTCTTAAGCTACTATGACAATTCCCCAACCAGAAAAGAGGCACAGAAAGAGAAAAACAGGCACATCTGGACTCAGGTTTTATGGGTACTTCCATGATGATTGCCTCCACATTCTTCCAGTGAATGATCCGGAAGCATTGTGTTCCTCTTTCCATTTCATGGATACTGGCCCCCACATCAGCCCTTGGGCCTAAGCCCTGGAGGCCCTGACACCTGGTGGCTGAGTCAGTATCTCAGGAATGGGCTTTAGGAGGAAGCCAGGTGATTCAGGGCCTCAAGAATGGCGTTGGGTAAGCCACCAGACCAGTTGCCTGGGCTGTCACCTCCTTGTTGAGGCGACAACACAGACCTCAACTCACTCAACTGCTCCTTGGGTACCCAAATTATCCTTCCAAGTCCTGGGCCACAGGCTGCCCTCCTCTACCTGTTCAGCCCTGATGCTTCTCAGGGGTCCCAGAAACTGGATCAGGACTTGGAGAGGGTGTCAGGATTCAAGAGTGTAAGGAAGTAAACATAGTGGAACTTCCAAGGAACCCCACTTTTTTACTTTAAGCCCCCTAAACTGCTTCTCAAACCCAAGCTAACTGCCATTTCTATCTTCACTTCCTCTTCTCCTCGGTTCCCCCCAACTGCAGTGTTTGGACAGGCTCCCCTATTCCCTTCCTTAGCACCCTCAGACCAACAAAACATGCTGCCTTTTCTTTTCTTTTCTATTTTGTTCTTAAAGCATTTACTGTATGGGCGTGTGGAGGAAAGAGGGGTGAGATTTTAGAAAAGGAGATTTAACATCCCAGCCCTGAGCAGCTCTTTATCTTCCGCCCATTTGAGGTGTGACAACAGGCAATAGGCATCTCCCTTTCAGTGCCTGCCTCTTAAACCAATGCCCCTCCCAGGCACGGAGGCTCCGCCCTCAGTGGTTTGGCCCCAGGTTGCCCTAGAAGGGGTGTGAGTGATCAGACAGGTGACCGAGGGCTGGGATGCCTGAAGCCTGCCTGAACTGAGTCACCTAGTGCTGTTGTTGTTGTCATTGTCCTTGTCGAAGTCCCTGCTCAGCTCCACAGACCTCTGTGGAAACAGCAACAGCTCCCATCCTTCCACCCTTTCTGGAGACACAGAGGCCTGATGGTGAGCCGAATGGGCTGGGGGGGAGGCCGGGGGCGGCTGGGGCGGTGGGGAGACCTGGGGCCGGGACCTGTGCCCCTCCTCCCCATGCCACCGCCTCCTCCTCCTCCTCATCGGGGACCCGGGGGAGGGAGGATCTCCATCTTCTCCCTGTCCCCTGCCCCTCATACAAGAAGCTCCCCATCCTCCTCTTTCCCTCCCCTCATGGGCTCCCCCTGCTCAGTGCCGCAGGGGACAGGGGCTTCTCAGCCTTGCCACAGTGCCCTCCCTGCCCCAGCCACCCCAACACGGGCACGGCCCACAATGACACCCACCTCTGCTTCCCCCTCGTGGGGATCCCATGCCACCCCACCCCTGGCCGCGGTGACTCCCCCTCCGTCACGCCGATGCCTCCAGGACCCTCCTGGGCTGCGGATAGGTCCTCTGATCCCCGAACAGGATTATGAGCGGCTGGAGGACTGTGACCCTGAGGGGTCCCAAGACTCACCCCTCCATGGGGAGGAGCAGCAACCCCTGCTTCATGTACCTGAAGGGCTCCGGGGTGAGTGTGAGTGGGCGCGTGGGGGCTGGGGGCCTCGGAGCTCCAGGGCTTGCCCCAGTGTGGGCAGCAGGTTGAGCGTATGGAGAAAAGATCAGTGAGGTGAGAGCGCCAAGGCCCCACACTCTCCCCCTGTACGCAGGCTCCTGGCATCACATCCAGAACCTGGACAGCTTCTTCACCAAGATATCCTTTGTGCTCGGCCTGCAGAAGTGGCACGCAAGGGCCCCTTTGGAGCTGGCAGCATTTTTGCCAGGGAGACTCCCTGAGGGTGTCGTGGTTGGGAAGACTTGTTGGGGATGAGGGGAGGCGACCTCAGGAAGGCCCATCATGTCTCAGGCTTATTCCTTGACATGCTGCCACATCTATAGTTACCACCAGAGGAACGGCTTTGCCTGTATCCTGCTGGAGGATGTCTTCCAGCTGGGGTGAGCTGCTCATTCCGGCCCCTGGGCCTGCGGACCCCTCCTGTGGCCTGCTTCCTTAATAGCGCCTGCTGCTTCTGTCCCACACTTTCCCTAGCAGCCCAAGGGGTGGGGTGGGAGGGAGGATGACTGGCTGGTTGAGGGGGGGCTGGGGCAGGCCCGCCTGGCCCTCAGGCCTGATGACCACTGCATCCTTGCACCCTGCCCGCTAGACAATTCATTTTCATCGTCGTCTTCACAACCTTCCTCCTTCGCTGTGTGGATTACAACGTTCTCTTTGCCAACCAACCAAATAACCGGACCAGACCTCGGCCATTCCACAACAAAGTGACCTTGTTGGACGCCATCCTACCCTCAGCCCAGTGTGCTGAGCGGTGAGTGACAGCCTGGTGGGGTCCCCAGGGGTGGGGCTCATGAGTGGGAGAGAGGAGCAGACAGGAGCCTCCCTTATCCCGTAGTCTAGACCAGCAGTTCTCGAAGTTTTTAGTCTCAGGACCAAAAATACACTTAGTATACTTTAAATTGTATTTAATTTAAGGTGTATGAAGTATATTTTTAATATACTTCAAATTGATTGAGAACCCCAAAGAGCTTTTGTTTATAAGAATCGTATCTATCCATGACTATCTATTATATCTAATTATAAATTAAAGCTGAAAACAACTTTATTAATTTTTTAAGTGGGGTAGTGAGGAGGGGTTTAGTTTCCTTTTTTGAGACAGAGTCTCGCTCCGTCACCCTGGGTAGAGTGCAGTGGCATCACGATAGCTCACTGCAACCTCCAACTCTTGGGCTCTTAAGCGATCCTCCTGCATCAGCCTCCCCAGTAGCTAGGATTACAGGCATGCCAGGACACCTAGTTAATTTTTCTGTTTTTAGTTAGTAGAGACGGGGTCTCGCTCTTGCTCAGGCTGGTCTCAAACTCCTGAGCTTAAGCAATCCTCCCACCTCAGCCTCCCACAGTGATAGGGTTACAGGTGTGAGCAGCCGTACCCAGCCTAAAAACAACTTTAAAACCTAAGACAGTCCAAGCACACATTCCATTGGCTGTCAGTGTGAGGTGACATCTTCACATGTCTTGTAACCTCTGCAAAATTCCACTGCACACTCATGAGAGACTAAGATTGAAAACAGCAGAAAGCATTTGTATTATTTGCAAAGTTTTTTAGTCAGGTGTGGTGGCACTGGTGCCTGTAGTCCCAGCTACTCCGGAGGCTGAGGCACGAGGATCACTTGAGCCCAGGAGTTCGAGGCTGCAGTGAGCTATGACTGGGCCACTGCATTCCAGTCTGGGTGACAGAGACCCTGTCTCTAAAACAGACAAACAAACAAAAAGGAAAAAAGTTTTGACTTTGAAGACACTTGTGAGGGCCTTCTTCAGGGCCCCCCTTACTGGACTGCTTGGAGAAGTGCTGGTCTGGCTGGATCCTCTCCCCATGGCTGTTTTCCCTCACTCTGGTCTCCGTCTCTCGGGCTCTCATCTTTCTCCCCCACTCCCTGTTACCAACCCCACACAGGATCCGCTCCAGCCCCCTACTGGTCTTCCTCCTGGTCCTGGCTGCGGGCTTCTGGCTGGTCCAACTGCTTCGCTCAGTCTGCAGCCTCTTCAGCTACTGGGACATCCAGGTGTTTTACAGGGAGGCCCTGCACATCCCCCCGGTGAGCTGGGTGGGCATGTCTGTGGAGGGTGCCATCCCACGGTGGGCAGAGGAGTGGGGAAGGAGTGGGGCCTTGCAGATAGAAGGGCAAACCTGGAAAGAGGGCAGAAAGAGCAAGGCCTTATTGACACCTGCCCTAGGCCCAGAATATGTCAGGAGGTGGAGTACCACCACTTAGAAAGTATGCTCCTTGCCCCTGTAGAGCTTAGTTTGTTTATTTATTTATTTATTTATTTATTTATTTATTTTTGAGACAGAGTCTCACTCTTTTTTGCCCGGGCTAGAGTGAGTGCCGTGGCGTCAGCCTAGCTCACAGCAACCTCAAACTCCTGGGCTCAAGCGATCCTCCTGCCTCAGCCTCCCGAGTAGCTGGGACTACAGGCATGCGCCACCATGCCCGGCTAATTTTTTCTATATATTTTTAGTTGTCCGATTAATTTCTTTCTATTTTTAGTAGAGACGGGGTCTCGCTCTTGCTCAGGCTGGTTTTGAACTCCTGAGCTCAAATAATCCGCCCGCCTCGGCCTCCCAGAGAGCTAGGATTATAGGCGTGAGCCACCGCGCCCGGCCGAGCTTAGTTTATTTAGATGGCTCATATGAGATGACTTATAGTCACATGTTTGTGCTAAAAAACAATGGGTATTTAGAGGGAGGGCAGTCATCTGGGTTTCCAGAGTAGGAGGAATTTGGGCTGCGCTTGGAAGGACAGGACAGGACAGGAGGGGAGGGGAGGGCATTCCAAGCCCCAGTAGGCCAGTGCAGGAAGGTGGGGGAAAGCCGTGAGCATCTGTAGGCTGCAGGGAGATGGACCCATCCACCTAAAACTGAGCCTTCAAGGCCCCCATCAGGTGGACCCCCCCCACATGCTGCAGTAAGCCACTGCATTGGCCTTATTACTGTCCCCTGGCCACACTCTGCCCTTTCCTCATCTTGCCTCTGCACCTAAGTTCTTTAAGTCTCGACTCAAACGCTCCCTTCTGCAGCATGCCTCCCTTGCTTCCCCTCGGAAGTCCAGGGCTTTCTGCACAGCCCTACTGCATAGGAAGGAGAGAGGTTCTAGAAGGCCCATGAGGAAGGGAGCACCAGGCACAGAGCAGGTGTCAGGAGGCCCGTGAAGCAGCGATGAGGGAGTGGGAGTATGGCTGCCCTCCTGTGGGAGGCTGCTGACCCTTCTCCCTCCTCTCCCATTCCTTCCAGTTCATCCCTCTGAACTACAGAGGCTGGCGGGGAGGGACTTGACTAACCTAGACTGGGGAAGCTGGGTGAAACCGGGCTACAACGAAGTTTGAAGACCGCCAAATGAGATCTAACAGCACCCCATCCCCAGACATGGGCACTGCCAGGGTCTTGGGAAGGCTAATCTGGCAAGATGTCCTGGAGTAGGGTGGGGATGGGGGTCTCAAAGCATGCCCAGGCAAAAGGTGGTGCGGTTCTGGCCCAGAGTTGGAGGGCATACTGCAAACTGGAAGGAAAGAGTGCCCCCTGACCTTCCAGCCACTCTGCTTTTGTGTGTACAATTGAGGGGGCCTCAGATAACCTGCTCTTAAGTAGCTAAGAAGCCAGGTGCAATACCTGGGAAGTTTACTAACAAAGTGTCACCAGGAAGCACATGACTAATGGCCTCATGAATGGCAGGGATGATGAGGAACAGAGCAATTAAGAAAGGATGAAAGGAAGTGGGACACGTCCTTGTGAGGGACAGGGTTGGGGCAGGGCAGAAAGCGAAAGGTGGGGAGGAGGCGAGGGGGGATGTAGCTTGGTCATGGTGAAGTTCTGCTTGTTTCTAGGCAGCCCATTTGCGGGTGTGGCTCGGGCATCGCAGTGGAGAGCAAGGGGTCGCTGGTGCTCACCAGTTCCCCTCTCCTTAGGAGGAGCTCAGCTCGGTGTCCTGGGCAGAGGTGCAGTCCCGCCTCCTGGCGCTGCAGCGAAGCGGGGGGCTGTGCGTGCAGCCGCGGCCGCTGACGGAGCTGGATGTCCACCACCGCATCCTGCGCTACACCAACTACCAGGTGGCGCTGGCCAACAAGGGCCTGCTGCCGGCCCGCTGCCCACTGCCCTGGGGAGGCAGTGCTGCCTTCTTCAGCCGTGGCCTGGCACTCAACGTCGACCTGCTGCTCTTCCGCGGTCCTTTTTCGCTCTTCCGCGGGGGCTGGGAGCTGCCCGACGCCTACAAGCGCAGCGACCAGCGCGGCGCCCTGGCCGCGCGCTGGGGGCGCACAGTGCTACTGTTGGCCGCCCTGAACCTGGCGCTGAGCCCGCTGGTGCTGGCCTGGCAGGTGCTGCACGCCTTCTACAGCCACGTGGAGCTGCTGCGTCGCGAGCCGGGCGCGCTCGGGGTTCGCCGCTGGTCCCGCCTGGCGCGTCTGCAGCTGCGCCACTTCAACGAACTGCCGCACGAGCTGCGCGCGCGCCTGGCCCGCGCCTACCGCCCCGCCGCCGCCTTCCTGCGCGCCGCCGAGCCCCCCGCGCCCCTGCGCGCGCTGCTCGCCCGCCAGCTGGTCTTCTTCGCCGGCGCACTCTTCGCCACGCTGCTCGTACTCACAGTCTACGACGAGGACGTGCTCGCCGTGGAGCACGTGCTCACCGCCATGACCGCGCTCGGGGTCACGGCCACCGTGGCCAGGTGCGACGGCAGATGCCCCGGGGTGGTGGTGTGTGTCCCTTTCTCTGATCTGCAGCTAAGTGGGGCTCTCCCGCCCCGCCTCCGCCCGGCGAATCCTTACCCCTTCCACCGCCGGTGCCCCCCAGGTCTGCATGCCACCGCATGTCCTCCTAACCGCAGGTCCCTTCCCCTCCCGCCCCCCATCCCGCCCTCCAGGTCTTTCGTACCAGAGGAGCAGTGCCAAGGTCGTACCCCGCAGCTCCTGCTGCAGGCGGCCCTGGCCCACATGCACTACCTCCCGGAGGAGCCCGGCCCTGGCGGCAGAGCCAGCGTTTACCGACAGATGGCGCAGCTGCTGCAGTACCGAGCGGTGAGGGTCGCGGCACCAGGAGGGCTGCTGGGGAGGCCGGGCAGCCTGGTGCTCTGCCTGGGAGAGGGCATGGGATAAATGGGCTACGCCAGGAGCCTAGTCAGTGACTTTTTGTAGGCTTCCCGCCCTGGCGAGTGTCCGTGGGGCCTCTTGGTCCTGATCACTTGTGTGTGCCCCTCAGCAACGCCTGCTCAGCCTCCGCCTGCTTCCCCAGGTCTCCCTGCTGGAGGAGCTCCTGTCCCCTCTCCTCACACCGCTGTTTCTGATTTTCTGGTTCCGTCCTCGTTCCCTGGAGATCATTGACTTCTTCCATCATTTTACTGTGGATGTGGCCGGGGTTGGGGACATCTGTTCCTTTGCCCTTATGGATGTGAAGCGCCACGGCCACCCTCAGGTTAGAGCCCTGCCCTGGCCAAGTGGGGTCGTGCTGGGTAGGAGTTTGCTTGTCTCACTCGAAGCTGACCTGGGTTTCAACCCCAGTTCCATCACTTGCCACCTGGGACCTTGAGCAAGTAACTTTACTTCCTGCTCCCTGGTGTCCTTGTCTGTCGAACGAAGACGACAGTAGTAGCCAAGGCGTGGGCTTGTGAGGATGACATGAGAGGATGTCTGTAGAGCCCTTAACAGTGTTGCCGGCACATAGGAGCATCAGCAATGGGAGCAAAGATGACCAGGGGGGCCGAGAAATGGGACTGGTCAGTGGGTGGGGCTGAGTAAGGACGGACCAGGGCCGAGGCCCACCTTGGGGATCTGGTCTGCACAGGTGGGCAAAGCTGAGCTGGGTCTAGACCCAGGTCCTGCCCTGCTGCTGTACTTTTGGGTGATCTTGAGCAAATCCCCGTCCTGGCCTCCGTTTCCTTCACGTAGAAAATGGGGCAGTGTCTCCTGTCCCACCTACCCCCATAAGGCTCAGTGTCTGCAGCACCTGAGAGACTGTCTTTGCTCGCAGTGGCTCTCGGCGGGACAGACGGAGGCCTCGCTGTCTCAGCGGGCAGAGGATGGAAAGACTGAGCTCTCTTTGATGCGGTTCTCCCTGGCACATCCTCTATGGCGCCCTCCAGGGCACAGCTCTAAGTTCCTTGGGCACCTCCGGGGCCGGGTACAACAAGATGCAGCTGCCTGGGGCGCCACCTCAGCCGGCAGCCCCCCCACTCCAGGGGTGCTCAGCAGTTGCACGTCGCCTCTGGTGAGTCCTAAGCCTGGCCTACCCTCTGCCCTCCCCACCCCAGCTCTCTCTTCTCCCTTGCCCCGCAGCCTCGCCTTTGGTAGAACCCACGCTGCTGGCCACCCCGGCCTGCTTTCTGGCCTTCCTTAGAACCCTTCTTCCTCCTCCCTCCCTCTCTTCCAGCACCCCCTTCATCTTTCCCTCTTCTCTTGCTCACAGCCGGAGGCCTTCCTGGCCAACCTCTTGGGGCACCCTCTCCTGCCCCCGAGGGACCTGAGCCCCACATCCCCCTGCCCAGCTGCTGCCACAGCCAGCCTCCTTGCCTCCATTTCCCGAATTGCCCAGGACCCCAGGTGAGATGCAGGGGAGTGGGGGTGGCTGATCTTCTAGGAGGGAACTGGCATGCTGAGGGGGATCCGGAAGGGGAAATCCAACCTGGCCTGCCCTATGGGGTGGGAATAGATGGCCAGGGCATGTCTTTTGACTTACTGTACCCTGTGTTCCAGCTGTGTGTCCCCAGGGGTCACTGGGGGCCAGAAGCTGGCCCAGCTCCCAGAGCTTGCTTCTGCTGAGATGAGTCTCCATGCCATCTACCTGCACCAGGTGAGTGGAGCAGTGTGGACAGGAGAACTGTGGAGAGGAAGCAGGTGAACAGAATGGAGGCTAGGAAGAGGGTCTAAGGAAGTACCTAAAAGAGCTGTGGGAGGAAGTTTCAGAGCCCGCTGCACCCAGTCCCCTTGCCCTCAGGGTGGGAGGGGCCCCTCATTCCTCTTCCTTTCCGTGTAGCTTCATCAGCAGCAGCAGCAGGAGCAGTGGGGGGGTGCTTCAGCCACCTCCCTGTCCAGGCCCTGGTCCGTCCCCTCGCAGCCACTCTCGCCTGAAGAGGAGAAGCCATCCTGGTCAAGTGATGGTGAGGAGGGTGGGGTACACAGGCGGCAGATCCTGGGTGGACGCTGGGCATCACGGCACTGCTCAGCTGATGGCTTTTGTCATTAGGCTCCAGTCCTGCCTCCAGCCCCAGACAGCAGTGGGGAGCCCAGAGGACCCGGAATCTATTCCCTGGAGGGTTTCAGGAGACCGCAGACACTCAGAAGGGAGCCTCTCCAGGCCCCTAGCACTGACTGAGAGGACTCCTCAGGGTCAGTATTGCCTACTTTGTCGGGAGGAAGAAAGGATTGAGTAGGAAGTTGGTTTGGAGTGAGACTTGGAGGGATGAACAGTGGTGGGAATTTGCGGTGGTAGGGGGTGGTCATCTCTGGAGCCTAGAGCCCTGGACTGCTTGCCAAGAGCCTTCTCCTCCCTCAGGTTCCCTGGCTTCTGCAGCCACAGGAGATTGGAGGGTGGAGGACACACCGAGCCATCTTTGGAGGCCCCTACGTACAACAGGCCCAGGAGACCTTGGCTGGGCAGGACCTGGTGCCGGAGGTCAATGAGGAGCTCGCCCCAGAGAACAGAGAAAGGGTGGGAGAGGAGATGCCAATGGCATCTGGAAACAGGTCTTAGAGATGGTCCCCACGTGGAGGGGTAAGGATACACCCCCCCAACTAGCTGTTCTGGAGCAGTTGCCTGGGAAGAAGTCCCCAAGTATACTCAGGTGGGGGGTAGGGGCCAAGGAGGGGGCCACCTAAGTGTAAGGGAAACAATGGGGCCAGTGATCTGAAAGGCAGCGGCGTCTTCACTGGTCTCTGTCAGGTTCCCATGGCACTTGCAGGGGAACTTGTCAGTGGAAAGACTCAAGAGGGCTGGTGGTTGTGGACTTTAGCATGGGCGTGATGTCTGAGGGGGTGTGGCTCCTCATCCTGTATGACATAAGCAGTAAAGATTGCTCATGGCTGTGTTGCATGTTGTGACGTGATCTCTGGCTTCCCGGCATCCACCACTGCTGGCAGCTGAGGGCCAGCACCTGCTCCTCAGTCACGACAAGCAAGGGAACTGCACGGGAGAAATGCCCAGGACTGGCTGGAGCCACGCTTTTAGAGTCAAGTGGAGTGCGTGAGACTCCCTGTCAAAGAATGACACCCCCTAGACACACATCTGCACAAAACACACAACTTGTCATTTTATAATTGTAATTGACGTGGGCTGGGTTAGGCATCTTAGTGTCTCTCATGACATCTGGCACAGTCTCTTGCGGTAAATCTTCAATAATAAATATTTGAATGACTTAGAGATTAAGCTTTCAGATACTCCTGAGAGAGGAATGGGGATCTAAAATTCACCTACAGAACACGAAGTGGGTAGCAGTAGGCGGTGCAATGCCACTGCTGGGAAGGGCCTTCCAGATTTAGGCAGACCTGGCCAGGGCAAACAGGCCGAGGGAGAAAGACATTTCACTCATTCCTGACGGAATAAGGCGGAATCTCTGCAACCTCTGGAAAGCTGCGGGAAGGCACCTCTCGAGGGGACGGAGGTGGCTGGACCTGGTCAGGCCGACTGGAGCGCAGCAGCCCGTCTAGGTGTCTGGGGCGAGCGGGTCGAACGCCCAGGGCACTGCGCCCCGAAGCTGCCGCTCCTGCAAGGAAAAGCTCTGGGTGCGTATGCGGCTCGTCACCTCCTGGGTGCGCAGCGTGAGCCCGAAAATGTCCTCGTGGTAGCGTTGCTGATCCTGTCGGGAAAGAGGTCAGCGGATCAGAACCCGAGTCCGAGACCTCAGCGAGAACCTGACACGCCTGGTGCCTGGGCCCCTCGCGGTCCCCGCCCGGCCCCCGCCCACCCCGGCCGTCCGCACCCGCAGCACGCCGATGACGTCACCGGCCTCTTCCAGCTCCATGTCGCCCTCGGTCGCCAGGATTCGCTGCACAGTCTGCAGGACGCTGGTTGCCATGGTGACATCGCCGCAGACGAACATGTGGCCCCGCTCGAGGCACAGTACGCGGTGCACCTCAGCAGCCAGCTCGGTCCTCAGCAGGTCCTGCACGTAGGTCTGCCGGCAGGCGGGGTTAGGGGCGCGCGAGGTGGGCCCACGTGCCCTGGGGTGGGGTCTGGAGCGCGGAGCCAAGCCGGGGTGAGGCTTTGGTCCGGAGGTGGGCGGGCCCAGAAGGCGCCCCGGGCACATGAGCGTGGGGCAGAGTGGGGCTGGTGGTGGAGTGCCAGTGGGTGAGGGCGCAGGGTGTGGGCTGGGGGGTGCTGGGTCAGGGCGCCCCACTGGAGAGCGCAAAAGTCCTTCCCTTTGTTCCTGTCTCCAAGTTACCCCTGCGCCCTCAGGGTCCCGCACCTTGGGGCTGTCAGGTTCCCGGGAGAAGGCGGTGAGAACGCGGCCAAACACCCCGCGCTGCTGGGCGTCCTGCACCTCGTCGCGGTAGAGATGGTCGAGTTGGGAGCATCGGCAGCCGAACACCAAAGTCATGGGGGCGGGATGCAGCCCTGCAAGCCACACTGCGACTTGCCAGGGCCCCTCCCCTGGGGCCGACAGCCCAGCGTTTGGGGCTGAAGCAACCACTATTGGGCTGTTTGGTCTCTATGGGAGTGCAGGATGCATTCGCAGAGATCCCGCCACATCCCTGATTTAGGGAGAAGGAAGTGGAGCCCACGCAGAGTGGTGACTTCTCTGGGCTGGATGGCCAGTGGCAGAACTGCCTAGAACATGGGACTTCTGGCTCAGAATCCATGCTCTTTGCATTGTGTGACATCTCAGTCCCCTTCCCTGCTCCAACCCCGTGTTCTCTACACTTCCACATGTTCAGCCTTTCTCCCAAACTAGCCTGGACACCCCATGCCCAACCTGAATACCCTGTATCGTCCTTAGGCCCTGGACACACCGAGGTGAACTGTGGCGCAGTGCAGAACCCACCTGGGGCATTTCTTCTGTCTTTTGAGTCCCAGCCCCATCCCTTCCAAAATTCCGTTTCCTTTATTCTTAATTCAGTCAACACCTACAACCCCAGGAAGCCAGAAAAACAGGGCCCAGTCCTTGCCCCCGGACTCTCCTTTCCCCTCCGTCTGTCTAATGAGCCTCCTTTCGGCTTTGTGGCCCCAGTGTCTAGCTTGTCTTTCCTACCTACTTGCCTTCTAGCCCACCCCTTTGTCCCTAGATGTGTGACTCCCTCCTGCCTTCCAGGCAGTTCCTTAGCCCCCAGCCTCACCTTTGCTCTCGATGTCGTGCAGCCGCTCCTGCCAGAATCCCCGGAAGGGGGCAATGCCAGTGCCTGGGCCCACCAGGATGCAGGGCAAGCTGGGATCAGGTGGCAGCCGGAAGGAGGGAGCCCTAGCCAGAAAGACACTCCGTCAGGCCCCTTCCCCTCCCCTCCCTATTAACAACCCAAGTTCCACTGATAAATGAGT